CCCCAAAACCCCAAAACCCCTAAAGACTTTAATCATTTTGAGATTTGAAATAGTAATGTAAATAAATTTAAGATATAGTTTTACCAGGAGATTGCTGATTTAGCAGCCTATTAGACTCATAATATAACCCTTCAAAATAAATATAAACGATTAAACTATGTGAGAAAAGTTAAGGTGTTTAAATAATAAGTAATAAAGAAAATTAATTGGTTCGGAATATTATAAAAAGTATAATTAATCTACCTCAGTATTATTTAATATGGAATCAAATACACTACAATAACAATAAGAATCAATCACTGATTAAAATATTGATCATCTAAGTAATATATAAATAGACACAGCTTAGGTCTAGCCATCAAAGAACTAAATAGCTAAAGATGCAAAGAAAATGAAAAAGAAGGTAGCTCAAGCAGTAACGGTAACATAAGTAATTTTAATTAAAATAATTTAGGTAATTGTGAAAGCAGAGAATCAAACCTTTGAGAAATTAATGTCTAAGGTTCCTGAGAAATATGTATTTGTTGCTCATTTTGGAAATGGTGATGAAGAGGACTAAAATGTGGTATATGATTATGCAAAATAGTTTGGAGAAATTTCACGAGTTACTATATTCCCTGGAACAAGTTATGGGCATCTTGAGTTTAGAGATACTGAAGGGGTAGAGAGAATGTTTAAGGATCTAGATGGGCCTAATATTAAGAATCTCAAATTCTATGGCAAAGAAAGATATGCTTGTTTCTTTCAGACATCAGTAGGATTTAATGAGTTGAAGAATAGAGCAACAGTAGATTTCCCACAATCAACTAATGCATTTTCAAATATTATCCCTGGGCTTTATGTCTATGATGATTTCATCTCTCAAGGTAATTATTATGGTGTGTTAATTTTTATTTAGAGGAGGAAGATGAGATGATTAAATCTATGGATAAGCATTACTGGGTAAAGCTGCTAAATAGAAGAGTTTAGCACTATGGCTATGAATTCCTCTATGGAGTTAATACTGTCAATAAAAATAATAAGATAGGTGAAATGCCTGATTTTTGCACTTTTCTTTTACCAAGTAATCTTATAATCTTTTTAATGATTTATAGGATTCGAGAAAGTTTTGAAAGGCTTTGGATTTAATGAGAATAATGAAGTTGCTGAAATAGGGGCAGAAGAAACTAAAGAATTAAAAGAGACCTTCTTAGACAGACATGGACTTTTTGATTAGCTCACAGTAAATGACTATACCCCAGGTCAGGGAATCCCTCCTCATGTTGACACTCATTCTCCTTTCGAAGAAATATTTGTCTCCTTGTCATTAAGAAGCGGAGTTTCTATGAATTTTAGAACTCCAGAAGGATAGTAAAAAGATGTGTATTTGAAGCCAAGAGGTCTTGTTTTATTTTCTGGAGCTGCTAGATATAACTACTTGCACTCAATTGCTACTAGAAAATTAGATAGTGTTGAAGGTCTCTTGAAGTTCAGGCATAGAAGAGTATCCCTCACTTTTAGAAAGATTAAGCATGATCCATGCACATGTAGATTCCCTAAATTATGTGACTCTTAAAATAAGCAAGTAAATATAGATCAGAATATGCTAGCAGGTGAAGGTGAAGAGGCTAAAATTGACCCCAAAAATCTCTAAGAATTATCTGCCACTGATATGGAGAAAAAACATGTCTATGAAGTATATGATAAAATTGCTCCACACTTTAGCAACACAAGATATAAGCCATGGCCTAAGATCTAGAAATATCTAGATGCCTTGCCAACAGGATCTTTGAATATAGATGTGGGTTGTGGTAATGGTAAATATCTTGGATGTAATAGAGAGAATGTATTCAGCATTGGTACTGACAGAAGTATAAACTTACTTGGTATTTGCAGAGACAGAGATAAGGATTTCTAAACATTCTATTGTGATTCTTTAAAACTGCCAGTCAGAAACAATGCATTTGACTCAGTCATATCTATTGCTGTCGTTCATCATTTCTCTACAAAAACTCTAAGAGTAGCTGCTTTGAAAGAAATGCATAGAGTTTTAAAGATCGGTGGTAAATTATTAGTATATGTTTGGGCATTTGAATAAGAAGTAAAGAAGTTCTAAACTCAGGATGTATTTGTACCTTGGCATTTACAAGATACCTACGAGGAAGGGAAAAAAGACACAGAGGATAGCTAATAAAATATAGTACAAGAGCCTGATGTCGAATAAAACACTAATCAAAACCATCAAGAAGAGGAAAAGTCTTCTCATAGTTCTTCATTTATTGAGACTGCATATAAAAATGATGAGAAAAAGGCTACAGTCTACCATAGATATTATCATATGTTTAAGGAGGGTGAACTTGAAGAACTTATAACAGAAAATTTCGAAGGCTAATTTGAGATTAGAGACAGATACTATGATCATGCTAACTGGGCTGTTGTATGCGAGAAAATTAGTGATTGAACAGACTATTAAATTATTTATTTTAGAAATTACAAAGTGACATCATACTAAGATATTAGGGGTTTTGGGGTTTTGGGG